CCAACCCTATGACGAGCCGACAAAGTCAGTCAATGCTACTGCAAGTGATGCCGACTCTGCTAGGAATGGCCGCATCGGGAAAACTGACCCCTTTTATAATGCCGACACTCATCAAGATAGTCATACTCCCACTGTTGCACATAATCAACACCATATCGAAAGCGTTTATTTTCATCGGAATCATCGCTTACTTAATCACATTCACTGTCCCTTTAATTCTCAAACATTTTGGTATAAGTTTTTGTGCGAAATTATCATATTTTTTATTCATTTATTTTTGCTATTCGTTTAGGTTTTATAGCGTTTATTGCCAGAGATCTCGATATAATAAACACGTACTCGTCGTATAGTTTATTCAAATTTTAAATGAGTTTTTAAATTTTTATAAATGAAGTAAATTTATACAATTTATTGGATGAGAATATAATTGTAATTCAAGAAATCGTGTAATCATTTGTCGACAGTTGAAGGCTGTGACGGTTCCTCTTGCGCCTCCTGTTCCTCACTCTCATCGCTATCACTGTCTTGACTTTCATTGTCTTTCCCTATAAATTGTGTCCAAAAAAACGTAAATCCCTTTTTGAAAATTTATTAAAACAATTCGCAAAACCAAACCTGTCTTTGACTTCTTGGCCCTCTGTTTAAGTTTGCGTTTCTGTCGTTTGGCTCTCTTTTTAGCCGTCTTTTCTTCGGCTTTTCGTTTGTTGTCATCAACTCTTTTGCGGTAATTATCTTCGAGTTGTTCCTAAATATCATACAAAACCCACATTAAAACCAATCGTCGCGTGAATGGCCACCTCTTAGGGACAGACCTGTTTGGCCTGAGTCTCGATATGTCTGAGTCGGGCGTACTCTTTGCGCCTCAGATGCCTATACACGTGGAACTCCCCACTGCCCGCACCCGCACTCGACCCTAAGACAACACATACACGTGGGGTCAGAGGTCACACACGTGCGCCACAAATGAGTGGTAAGTCTCATACAAACCCATTATATTTCGGACAAAATCTGGCGGTTCGGCGAACTTCTTGTCCTCACGTCTCATAGGGATGTCAATCGGTTTGTCCTAAAAGATACACAAATCGTGTCAATTAATGGATCCATTGAATGGTGAAAGCAATAGTCTTAAGCAATAATCACCGGATTCTTCATCAGCTTCTCTAATCTGATTTTCTG